GGAAAGAGAAACACTGACAAATAACATTCCTCTCTGCTTACTGTTTGAAGGGTTGCTTAAATTCTACCTGAATACTCGCAATAGAGTTTTACACTGAAACATGTTCAACATATACCCAAGTTCAAGGATTCGATTTTATTTATCAAAATGCTACTTCAGAAAAACAAACAAATAAACAAGCATTGTAATGCATATTTTTTACTCCTAAAAACAAGGGGCAAAATCTGATTTTGTTAAATTATCAGGGGATAAATAAACCCCCTTCCTTTAAATGATTACTACAGGTATCCTATATTCCTTTATAAACAGAATACTGATTCCAGTATACATGCTTGTATAATATACCCACGACAGAAGAAAGACTACCTTAGTAAAACCTTTTTCAGGATATTTGTTTAAATGAAAGTTCTTCATGATTTTGAAAAAGTTTCAGGGTCAAACATAAAATCTCCAAACCACTGCAGGAAAGTTTATTCTTAACCTATGAGAAATGTAATTACAGTAAGCCTTCAAAAAGTATTATATACATAAAAATAAAAACTAAAGGCTCTACCCAAAAGCAAAACATGCACTATGACTCTGTTTAAATGAAGTATAAGAACAGGCAAAACCAATCTCTAGTGATGGAGGTCAAGGTAATAAGAACAGGCAAAACCAATCTCTAGTGATGGAGGTCAAGGTAGTAGTTGCCTTGGGGAAAGAGAGGTTAGTGACTAGGAAAGAACAAAAGGGAGCCTTCTGGGGTGTGGGAATATTTGATATGTAAATCCATCAAACTGTACATTTAGAATCCATGCACTTTCTTTCCTTTTCTGTAAAGAAATTATATCTCAATTTTCTCTTAAGTTAAAATAAAAAAGAAATAAAGACCAAAAAACAGAAACAAACAAAAAAAAAACAACTAAAAGCTCTACCTTAAATAAAAGTAGGGATGCTATTCATGTTTGACAAGTTATTTTTTAAATGGGCAAGAAAAAACTAAATAATATATATCATTATAATCAAGAATCTTAGATATTATTTCAATTTCTGATGATTTTCTATACATTCATAATGGTATCTATAAAAATGGCATTTTATTTCTACAGTCAAGCAAGAGTAATATACCACTATAAGAAAACATAAAAATCACTACAAATATACTTGTGAGATGAAATATGTACAGCAAGATCAATGAGCTAAGAACAGTTTCTACATTAAAAAAATGACAATGAAAGTTATATGAAATTCAAATTTCAGTGTCCATATACAAAATTTTATTGGAACATAGCCATCCTCACTCTTTTACATTGTCTACGGTTGCTTCTGCACTATACCAGCAAAGGAGAAAAGTCACAACAGAGACCATATGGCCCATAAAGTCTAAAATATTTAATATTTGGTCTTTATAGTAAAAGTTTGCTGACTCCTGCTATACAGCATTTAAAAGGAAAGGACTACCCATAGAATGAGAAAAAATATTTGCACATCACGTATCTAGATAAGGGTCTAGTATTCAAAATACATAAAGACCTCTTATAGCTCAACAATAAAAAGATAACCCAACTTAAAAATAAACAAAAAATTTAAGTCTTTTCTCCAAAGAAGATATACAAATGGTCAATAAGCACATGAAAAGATGCTTAACAGCTTTAGTCATTAGGGAAATGTAGATCACAACCATGATGAGATATCACTTCCCATCCCTATGATGGCTATAATAAAAAAAGACATAAATGTTGAAGAGGATGTAGAGAAATTAGAACCCTTACATATTGTTAGTGGGGTTGTAAAATGGTTGTAAAACTACTACCTCTGTAGCAGTTCCTTAAAAAGCTAAACAAAGTTAACATTTCACCCAGCAATTCCATTCCTAAGCATATACCCAAGAGAAATAAAAATGTAAGTACACACAAAAACTTGTAAACAAATGTTCACAGTAGCATTATTCATTCATAATGGCCAACAAGCACAAACAACTCTCAAATGTCCATCAACTGATGAATGGATAAACAAGGGAAATACTATTCAGCCACAAAAAGCAATGAAGTACATAATACAACACTGATCAACCGTGAAAACATGCTAAGTAAAAAAAGCCAGATATAAAAAGTCACATAATGTATAATTCTATTTATATGAAATATCCAGAATAGACATATCCATAGAGACCACAAGTAGGTTAATGGTTGCCAAGGCTGGGAGGGGAAGGGGTGGAAAGTGACTGCTAAGGGTTATGGGGTTTCTTTTGGGGGTGATATAAATATTCAGATACTGGTGATGACTGTACAACTTCATGGATATACTAAAAATTCCTGAAATGTATACTTTAAAAGGGTGAATTGTATGGTATGTGAATAATAATTGCTCAATAAAAAATTAAAATTTTAAAGAAAGAACTTGTATGTATTAACACACAAAGCTCTCAAAGCACTGCTGAGTTGGGAAAAAAACAATTTGCAAAAACATGAACAATATGAAACCATTTATGCTTTTTAAAAGTTATGTGTTCAATGAAGACATATTACAGAAATATATCTTTAGCATTATCTATAATGCTCTACTTTTTTTTACAAAGGGAGATATACATACGTATTCCTCCGGTAATTAAAAATAATTTAAAATGACAAAAAAAGTAGACAATTACTTAAACAGGCCATTCACAAAAGAATTACAAGTGACTAAAAAGCACATAAAAGAATAAAAACAAAAACAAACAAAAAGCACATAAAAAGATGTTTATGAACTAATAACTAATAAATGCAGATTCAAACAAAATGAATAACCCACGTTCAAACAAAATTCTTTAGAACCAGGATGATTCAATTTTCAGTGAGTAGACACAGAAGATCCTCAGCATTCAAAAGGGATGCATTCTGGATAGACTTTTATTATGGGCCAGCAAAACCAAGGAAGAGGGCCTCACTGTTGGGGCTTCTTCTATGCAGTACAGCTCCAGAGGAAAGGGACAGTGTCATGCTCATCTGTGTATTTCCTGGGCCTAGCAGTGTCTGACTCAACAGATGCTTTATAAGAATGTACTGTTTTACTCTTTTCTTCCACATTCTCTACTCCCACATCTCCCTCCCTAATTATAATTCCCAAAGGAAACAGCCTTGAGTTGATTAGATAACACTAAAGTATAGTGTTTTTTATCTAGATAATCTCTAGGGAAGGTGGGAATCTGTATGTCAACAATCACCTTCAGTGATTAATACAACCTGGAAAGTTATGAAAACATTGTATAAAAAGAAAAATTTAATCTCAAGAGGAGCGACTTTATCCCTAAAGAATTCCAGTTGGTACAAAGGACAGGAACTTCTGAATAGGAAAGGAATTTCTGAATAAGATATCTTCACTGCTCTATAACCTTGGATGAATTACTTAAACTTAATTTTAGCTACTTCATTTATAAAAATGAGGATATTCCCTGTTTTGACAAAAATAAGATTGTGAGAATAAAATTATACATACTGACATTTATTAAATGTTAGTTTCTTTCCTTTTCTATTCTAGGAAATTATTTTTAGAGTAGAATTATAGGTCTATAAAGGTTGAAATCTTTCTTTGGGGGAAAAAAATGGAAATTTTCTTGATTAAAACATGTAATATGACACTGCCAGTATGAATTGAGCAATCCTCAGACATTTTGGAATTTTACTATATGACACCCAATGTGTTAAAAGTAAATGTTATTTAGAAGTTATATCATCCAATTCTACCACTTTCATTTTATGTTGCAATCCAAATTAATTTTCATTCATACTGATTCTTCTCTTTGATCTCTTACTAGGCAAAGCCACAAAGAGAACCTCATATAGAATGGCACCACTTTAAAGGTCTTTCCAAAATTGTAAAGATACGCTACATGTAATACATTTTCATATAGTGGACAATTAATATTAATGATAGATGTGAAAATGTAACTGAAGTCTCAATATTTGAGTTAGAATATAGAGAATCCTCTCTAGTTAATCATCAGAAACTGAAACTTCTGCCAAACCTGACCGTCAATCTTTTCACAATTGGATAGTATAGCAGGTACCATGGTAGTGCAAAGTAATTTACTCTTGAATCATTACCATCAACTCTAATCATGTAGGAAATGATTTATCTGATTCATTAAATAAAATATCAGCAGTAGTATCTCTGCATTTCAGAAAGTTACTGACACTAACAGCAAAAATAGGACTATTGATGTCTTCCTTCTCTTAGTGTCTGAATCACTAATAATTATCAGACACTTCCTAGAACTGAGGACTTAGCACCTCTGGTAAGTACTCAGACAGGGAAAATACCTTAATATTTGAATAATTGACAATCTCCAGCTATATGAGATGCTTAATAGGTATTTGAAGAACAAATACAGAATAAATAAGCCTTGCTTCTTCTACAGCTTAATGGTTACATACATGAAAACCCACAAAATCCAAATTTAAAATAAACACATGTAAGCAAAATAAAGAAGCAAAGAGGGCTTCCCTGGTGGTGCAGTGGTTGAGAGTCTGCCTGCCGATGCAGGGAACACGGGTTCGTGCCCCAGTCCGGGAAGATCCCACATGCCGCAGAGCGGCTGGGCCCGTGAGCCATGGCCGCTGAGCCTGCGCGCCCAGAGCGGGAGAGGCCACAACAGTGAGAGGCCCGTGTACCGCAAAAAAAAAAAAGAGGAAAAAAAAAAAGAAGCAAAGAGTTTTCTTAAATTATCTTATACCACAGTGCAAAGCATTACTAGTCCAGGAGATTTTTAGTATCTGGTGAACGTAAAAGACTAACATAAGTTCAGGAAGAAAATAATTCTGGTTTATAATGTATGTATTTATAATGTATATGTTTATACAATGTATATAATGCAAGTAACGACTTACAGAAAAGGCAGGGAAAAAGAAGAACAATAGAAGAATACTTACACACAAAGGTCTCTACATGTGTGCACAAGTCGCCACATTTAGGACAGCGAAGCTGGTTTCCACCTTTCCCAGAATTCCCAGAGCCTGACTTCTTACTGCTTCCCTCACTTGCTGATTTCTAATGTTTGTGGAAGAAAAAAAAAAAAAGAAAGAGTCAATTATTACTTCCAGGCAACCACCATGTAAGTTAAGTATAAACAATATTGTTTGTAATCTTATAATTTTTACAATTTTTAGAATGGAATTGTTAGTATAATTTATATCTCTATTATCACTGGTGTAAAAAAAATAAAATCAGTTCTAGTAAACACATATATTTAATGCATTCCTTCTTTACATGGTATGTGCCAGCATGTATAATTAGCTCTTCTGCAATGACAATCAATAAACACTAAGGGAAAAAAATCAATAAGCACTAGTAAATAAAAAAAAGTTACTATAGGTAAAAAACTACATTTCAATGAAATTAAATCAGGAGTTATTAACTTGGCAAGTAGTGACTCAACTTTCTTGAATCTAACTTTTATCATCTCTAAAATGGGGATAATTTCACCTACTTTAGGGGGTCATTGTTAGGATTAAGTGTGGATATGAAAGCACCTAGCATTTTATCTCACATATATTAATAACTCAAGTGTTGTCAAATTCACATAATAAAAAAAAAATAATAACTCACTGACCTAATACAATCACCAATCATCTACTTGCTAGCTACAGAGTAGCCTAACATTAAGTCATACAGATATCTAAGATTTTGAGGTAGAGGATGAAGTAAGGTTTATACTATCATGAGTTGTAAGACCTGTGTGGAAGCAGAAAATGATGGTTATTCCCAATCCAACCAACCATGAGACTGACTACGTATTTTTTTTTATTGGAGTATAATTCCTTTAGAATGTTGTGTTAGTTTCTGCTGTACAATGAAATGAATCAGCTATATATATACATATACCCCCTCCCTCTTGGACCTCCCTCCCACCCTCCATCTCACCCATCTAGGTGGTCACAGAACACTGAGCTGAGCTTCCTGTGCTTTACATAATGTTCCCACTAGCTACCTATTTTATGCATAGTAGTGTATATATGTCAATCCTAATCTCCCAATTCGTCCCTCCCTCCTCTTCCCTGCTTGTGTCCACATGTCCGTTCTCTAGTCCTTAATGAAGCTTCTTTACTGCTTTGGGGTGTTAGAAATTTTAACTACTGCTTACTAAGTGCAATGCTTATCAAACTATTTTATGGCTCAGACTGATAACACAAAATAAAAATATGTAGGGACTTCCCTGGTGGCACAGTGGTTAGAATCCGCCTGCCAATGCAGGGGACACGGGTTCAATCCCTGGTCCAGGAAGATCCCACATGCCGTGGAGCAACTAAGCCCATGTGCCACAAGTACGGATGCACTCTAGAGCCCAACTACTGAGCCCACAAGCCACAACTACTGAAGCCCATACAACTAGTGCCTGTGCTCTGCAACAAGAGAAGCCACTGCAGTGAGAAGCCCACGCACCGCAAACAGAAGTAGCCCCCACTTGCTGCAACTAGAGAAAGCCCGTGTGCAGCAACAAAGACCCAATGCAGCCAAAAAATAAATAAGTAAATAAATTTATTTTTTTTTAAATATGTAAAATTCTTCAGATCATTTTATATATTTCACACTTCCTACAGAAAACATACAAACCAATGAAATACAGAGTAGTATTATTATATTTGTTTAAATGAGGGAACTCAAATATGTGTATAGATGCCAATAAAGATAAAATACCTTATTTCCATCTCCAGAGCCATCTTTACTCATCCCATCTTTTGAAGCAAAGTATGCTGGTGTTTCTGTAAAGGCTCTAAAAGGAGCTCTTCGTAGAAGCTGAGTTTCAAAGGTCCCAAGCCTTCCTAAAACTGGTATATGAATGCGACCACAAGAAATACCTGAAAATACAATGAAATTTAGTCTACACATCAAATACTAACACACCTTCAATAAGTCCCCTGGGGACAAAAATCCCTCAAGCATAAAGGAGGTTGAAAAAGCTACAGTCTTCACAGCAGTAGTACAAACTGGTGACACCATCTTCAAAAACTGGCCCGACCTGTGCTTTGGAAGTAAGGAAAGACCACCCAGGTCATAACAATGATGGCTCTTTCAAAGTGTGAGAAATAAGTAGTTCAACATCTGCCTCACCTGTAGGGGAAAAAGGCCATTTATGTCCTATATTCTTATACTTCTTATATTATTTCTACCAGTGAGAATAAACAATTGACATGAACTCATCTGTCTCTTTGGTTATATGGGGGTAATATCTGCAACAATGGCAACAAATTTCAAATGTTATTTTAAAAGTTATGTGCTATTCATTAAATCACATGTTTTAATAAAATATTTCAATCCTATAGAAAAGAGAAATATATTTCAATAAAAAAATATTGTGTAACCACCATCCTGCTTTAAAACATTTTAACCTTTTGCCATATTTGAAGTTAAAATTCTTAGAAAAGACGTAGGTTAATCACTGACTTATTTGGCAAACTTTTTCTGTAAAAGACGAGGATAGTAAGTATTTTCAGCTTTGTGGGCCATATATGTAGTCTCAATCTCATTAATTCTCCCTGTAACATGAAAGCAAGTGTAAACAATATGTAAACACATGGGTGTGGCTGGATTTGTTCCATGGGGCCACTGTTTGCTGACTCCTGCTTTTTTCCATATAAATACGAAACAGGCCTCCGAATAAATTATAGTCAATGGCAAAAGAGCCATACTCCCATAAGGCAGCATTTCCCAAGCTGG